TAACCTCTGTGGCAAAATGCTCCAGTGCCTGTAGTCGCTGTCAGAGTTCTCCTCCGCTACAAAATACAGAAAAAACATTTTTTCAAATTACATGTTGGTACAAGAAACCCGAACATCCCACCCGAGCTTACCTCAATATATTTTACTTTCTCTCGAGTTTCCCTGAGTTAGCGTTTTCGGTGCTTCCCAGTTGCAAGCTGGTTTTTTGCTGTGAGTCACTGCCGACTCACTGCAGAATTAAAATGCTTAACGCACAAACTGTATAAGCTGTTAGGAAAAAACCTAGAAAAAACAAGACCATTCCACTGGGAGGGGGGGAAAAAAAAAAAAAAAGCAAGGGCAGTGAAAGAGCCATCTCTCTGATCAACCAGGTCTCAAACCTGCTGTGTGGTGGGTCGGTGCCTGCACGCTGGTTGCTCCCATGAGGAGCACGAGGCAGCTCACCCTCCCACCCGCTGTGTGCTCGGGCCAGAGGTGCTGGGAAGTCTCACCTAGCATCTCGTGATGCCTCCTGCCACAGATTCCACCCCGCTCTTAACCTATGCACGTGTCACTCTTGACTCACTTCACAGCTCCCTCCTTCTGTGTAACACCCACTTCCTCTATTGACCAGCCTTCTGCCCTGGCCGTTCCCAACTTGGAAAAAAAAAAAATCACAAGCAGCACCTGCCATCTCAGAATAAAAGCATCTTTCTTCCAAAATCTAGCTCCGAGTTCACATGCAGTTGCCGGGTTTGCAGCACGTGCCCTGGCAGAGGCGATTTTTCCGACAGCACATCTCTGCCATCCAGCAGAAGCGTTTCATTCTCAAGCTGAACTGGACAGCGACTGGTTGCTGTTCCAGTCCTGCTCGGACTGATGGAAGCGCAGCACGTGGCATCCTTGCACGACCCCTCTTCTCGCTGCTACTGAGGAACACAAGTTTGCTGTTTGTTTTCTGCAACGAGAACAAAAACCTGTTGCCACCTTGATGGCAAACCCCACTCCAGGCCCCACAGACCAGGCATCAGGACCCCCATCTCGGCACAAAACCAGACGTTTAACGTTGGAGTCCTTCTGCTTGTTCCCAAAGTTCACCAACTACGCTTCATTCGCATGCAAAAAGTATTATAAATGACCCCATTTCTATGCTGGCTTTGTACAAATATTTAAAGACAAATCTAAGCTGGAAGGAAGTATGATTTCCTACAGATTCCTAGCAAAATTCTAACCACTTTTCACGTGGACTCGTTATTCAAACTCTCCTGCCTTTAATATGACCTTCACGACAGCAGACACGCAGCGTGGAAGAGGCTCTGCAGATGCTCAAACGGCCGAAATCCAACAGCTTTACCTCTCTGATACGGACACTTGGATCCCATGGAATCATACCTGCGTTTGCTCCACTGCCAGCCATAGTTTGCAGAGTTATTTTTCTATTGCTTGGCCTGGCTCTCTAACCACCTTTGCTCTCCAGCAAACGTTTTGCGCAGGGTTGGTAAGATGGCTATAAGGGAAGTGATCTCACGATTCAGACAGCCAGACATCCCAGTGCTTGCTGGGAGATGTAGTTTTACAAAAGGACCAAACTTGAGCACATTCAGTCGAGGTGATCTTGTGAAAGGAGCATCTTGGATCTCCCGTGTGTGCTGGCACTGGGAGAGTACGATGCAGCAGAGCTGCAAAACCCTTCAAGCAGAACGAGACGGCCAGATAGTGCTTATGTATCAGAGGACAGTGCTCTTAGAAGAGTCTCCCTTCCCCAGCTCACTGGATCCATATTTGCTCCCCCTAATTCCTCCCAGGGCATCCTGTTGTTCTCCAGAAGACACATCTAACCTTATTCTGCCTGGTGCACTGTGCCTAACCGCACTCCTCTGCTGGAAATATTCCTCGAGCTTTGGTCCACGGACCTCAGAAGTGGCCCACAAAACAGAAGGAAACATTTTCCCACGTCTTAACTTTTTATGATGAGCATCTTCATTTTCAAATAACAAAGATTCTGCGACAAGCCTCCATCCTTTACTCAGAACAAGTTCGTTAATGCTTGTCCTCCCTGCCCCCCTTTACTTGTTGTGTGATCTGATCTAGGTGGTCCTGCTCTGGCAGGGGGATTGGACCAGATGATCCTTTGAGGTCCCTTCCAATCCCTGACATTCTGTGATTCTGTGAAACAAGCAAGCAAATGCAAAGTTGAAATAGAAAAGGCCACTGTGGCAGCTGCACAGGAAACAGCCCAGGGCTTCTCCTAAACCAGTTAGTCGATGACCCTGTTAAGACGGGTTGGGAAACATGACTTGAGCCAGCTCGAGCACGCTGTGAGCCAAACTCACCTAGACTGAGTCACCGGTCCTCGAGCCTGGCTGGCAGGGACTGCCTGTGCAGCAGTTTAGCAGAAACCTGCTCTTTCACTGTGGCAGCTGCACAGGAAACAGCCCAGGGCTTCTCCTAAACCAGTTAGTCGATGACCCTGTTAAGACGGGTTGGGAAACATGACTTGAGCCAGCTCGAGCACGCTGTGAGCCAAACTCACCTAGACTGAGTCACCGGTCCTCGAGCCTGGCTGGCAGGGACTGCCTGTGCAGCAGTTTAGCAGAAACCTGCTCTTT